TTTCTATTCTTTCTAAATTAAAATTTGTTTCCTTCTACAGCTCTCTACTACACAAAGAATGTGCCAGCATCTTTATAGCGGATTCAAAGGTACTTTCGGGTAGTTGAGATCACAATGCTAACAGCACTTCTAGACCTCGAGACACTTGACGAAATTCTTGAAAATGCGATCCATTAAAACTGGTTTTTCGTGCAGTATAACAGACTCTAGAATTTACATTATCGAAGCTACAAACCTCTCTCTCCAGAGTAGCCTTATGGGCTTGATTTTCTTTCAAGGTTTCCTTGCTTTTGGCAGCCACTAAAATGCTGCAGTAAGCAGTGATGATCACCACAACTGGAATGAAAAAACATACGGTTGCTATCAGTATGGTGTATATCGTTTTCCATTCTGTTCCGTACTGCAGCGGTTGAAAGGAAGCCAGAACAGCAGAGAAGAGCCAAGCTGCAGCTACGGCGATATAAAACGTTTTTCGTTGGAGTTGGCGATGCTGGAATGGTCTTAGAATGGCGTGGGACCTCTCAATGCTGATTCCAGTCAGTTGAAGGATGGAGGCGCTTCCGATAAATATGTCCGCTGTTATGTAGAACTGATAGGCATAGTTATTAATCTGGTGGCCGTGATGATTGCATAAGCTAATAAGCATCCAAATGGGTAACGAAACTAGTCCAACGAGAAAGTCTGCTGCTGCTAACCCGATGATGAAGGTGTGTGTGGCCGCCCTACGAAGCCATTTGTTCCGAATGTAAGCTGAAACGACGAGACCATTTCCAAATAGCATTATGATCACAAGGAAGCCATAGGAAACCAGGGATAAGTAGAGCTCAGCTAAAGATCGTCTTGGCTGCACTTGGGAAGATTCTGGGTTGGTCGTTTGCAAAGAGGACAAGTTGCTGTCGGGTTTTGGCGAGGAAGTGTTTAAAAATGACATTAGATTTTGAGGAGTTGGTTTCAATGGGTGTTGCCTTGTATATCTCGCCTGTACCTTCCTCCTTTTTGAGAATTCGCGATTTCTTTAGGAGTTACTGAGTCAAACGTGCCAGGTGGATATAGAGTGGTGGATGCCTCATCAGTTCTGCTATTCCGAAAGCTTTCAACCGCTTTATAAGAAGGTTCTGCGGACAAAGGGGAGAAAATAAATAATGCCCATGTGTTAATGAAATGAATGAATT